AAAGCGATCCGCCCACCACTTTACTTGTTGGTTTGGACGAGATGGGTCAGTCAAAAGTGGTACGATTCCCATTACTTCGCACCTGAATTAATTATGCCTCGCTCCGAGGTGCGAAGCAGCCCTAATTAAGTGGGATAACTCAGAGGTCATGATGCCACCTCTACATCCCTATTGATTGAGCGAACAGCCACTACTTTGGGAAATCAACAAGTGTGGAATGAAAAAAAAATGCCACGCCTTGAGTGACGGTATCCTAGTGATTCACATACGAAGTTATTACGAAATAATATTATCATCGAATAGATCGGCCTATAACCCGAAACATTCAAATTTAGAAGTTAGAATATAGAAGTTGCATAAGCGAGATGTGAGCCGATGCCTAAGGTGAAGTAGACGCTGAGGAAGCTACACATGCTTTTGTATAACATCTAGCAACAACCATTAATAGTGCCGAGATTCCCTCTCGTGTTCAAAAGCCTTTTTACACTAGCTAAATTTATATAATAGGACTAGTTTGGAAGCTTTTCTGGCAATTTATATTCACTTCGTCCAGGATGGAGCCACCTTCACTTTCTTGCATAGACTTTTGTATGTGTAAGCCTATGCATAACTGTTAGAATGTAGGGGGCGACTGATTAGAGGCCATGTTCCATCGTGAAGGAGAGTTTTAGCTAATGTTTTGCGCATCTGGTAAAGGCCACTGCTTCTAAAGTTGCGATATGTGACTAGTATGTACAGATGATGTCTGTTAAGTAAAAGGATAAGGCGCAGGTATTTGCGATTCCCTGATGAATGCGTTAAGTGAATCACTTCCATTCGGAATTTGCGCGTAATATTATAACTTTGAATGCGATTTGAGCTACACATACCTACAACGACTTGCGAGGGTGATTTGTTGTGGAAATCGATGTCAATCCCGACTAATCGACGGGTCTATTCGTGAGGCTTGGATCGTTTGACGAGGTCGATCCAGGATTTGGCTTCTTAGTGATACGCTTTGTCGCTTCACATACCTTGAGTTATTGTCTGCTACCTATAAGTGGATTTGCTATATCAGTGGATTATTTGTTGTGGGCTTTGGTGGTTTGTTTCTTCCTGCACTCTCTTTCATTCTTTTTGCATCTTAGATTGCAGATTAAAAGACGCTCAAGTTTTTATCCATTCAGAAACCGTGTGATGGATACTGGACAAGGGTCGCCATCGGATGTGCCGCTCGATGAACTCGGCCGAGAGGATGCCGGACAGACAGCGTTACCTATGTCTCGAGTGAAAACCATTATTGGAACGGTTCCCGACGCTCTGCCGCTCTCCCCGGAGGCGTTGTTCTGTATTGCAAAAGGCGCGGAGTTGTTTATGGAGCATTTGGTGAAGAGTGTCGCTCAGCAGTATGGAGAGCACATTGACTACGATGAAGTGGCCGAATATGTATTGGAGAATGATGAACTCGAGTATTTACATGACTTCTTCCCGAGGCGTCAAACATATGAGGCGGCTCTTAGGCAGTTAAAAGCTAGAGAAGAAGAGTAGGCTCGTCTGTTCTATCGGTTTTCATGTTTTTTTTTCGCTGTTTCTATTTCACTTCAGATCTCATTTTGTTGGCACACTTTTTAGCCACATTCGTAAATATCATGCGAGTGTCACGTTGTTAAAATACTTTCGATGTAAATAGCCCACTGTTCCCGGTACAGGTATTCCATAACCGACTAATAAACGTTTTATTTGTATTTGTATTCGTTCAGAATTTGTTTCTTGTCAGTGCGATACTTTTTGTGTGATGTTGCTTATACTACTGCCTGATATGTTGCCTGATCATCTTCCCCGGGGGATATATCCCCCTACTCTGATTCAATCCTCTGGGGGGACAAAAAAGGGTTGCGTCATAGGACCTAGCATACCTCTGTGTTTCTACCTGCCCAGACAGTTAGAGCAGCGCGACCCCTCAGGGGAAGAGTGCTTCATCAGTGGAGGTAGTAGCGCTGCTCTAACTGTCGATGTAGAAACCAGAGGTAGGCGAGGTTAGGACGACAGTTTGTCCCCCAGGAGTATTGAGAGGATTGTCATGCGAGTTTGCGATTGCGAGCGATCTCAAATGTGATCGCGCGATTCGCCTATGGTGCCGAATTGCCATTTCTCTAAATCTGACAACGCTCCAATTCGCGCGATGGGCTCCGTTACTTTCCCTGTGTGCAGGCGCCCTTCGATCGATTTCTGTTGTACTGATGGTATCGATGAGAGGGGGAGCATCCACACGGAGTGAGTCGCGCCAGCCTGCGATTGAGCGTATTGGTCAGGACTTAGAAATGATGCCAATCGCTGCGACATCTGCGCGATCGCGCGATGTCGCTGCGGTCACATTTGACGGATCGCGTCCATCGAGAACTCGAATCGCCACGTTGAATCAGAGTAGGGGATATATCCACTGGGGAAGGATTTTTTAAAACGCCCGGGTTGTTTTGGTTTTGCTGTATGGAAATTTTCGTGTCGCTGGTCTAGCTCAGCATTATGAAGCAGACAGTTACTAATGTTTAGAGTGGTTGTAATGGATAAGCTATCATGTTGTATAGCGGCGTTCGCCTTTTAGCAGAATGATAAGTACTGCATAGTGTATGACCATTTAAGAGCAAAAATATTTCCAAATCTGTATCTTTTAATCTGTATGAGGTTTTAGAAAGTCGTACTATCTGGGTATATAAGATATTTATGACTTTTGGTTCACTCCTTAAGAATTTCACTGTTAAAGATTTATTTCGCCTTTGCCCATCACTTTTTGATCAGCTTCGACCTTATTCCTGATTGGTTTAATCTCTTTGTGATAACCGAGTTGTGCTTGCCTTTTTGTCTGGTATCACCTTTCTGTTGAGGGTGGTTATCTACGTGCGACTAACTGTAGGCGGGACTCGCATCACCTCCGAATCTCTTGCTCTTTAACTTTAAATGTGTCGACTAATTATTGGCCCACATTTAGCATCCTTGTTCAGTTTCAAAGCGCAATTCTGGCAGAACGGGTCTAAGAAAACCGAGGACAACGCGAATTAAAACTCTTCGTTTTATATATTGACTCACCCGTTTGTCCCATCTAGTTACCGTCTGGATCTTGTCCTTTTCTACGCATAGCTTTTGCTATGCTAAGCTAGCGTAGGATTATGGTCAGTGGTCTTAAGTAGTGTATTACAGTCAGGTGCTACGTTAGGCTTGTAGTATCAAAGTGTATTAATTAAACCTCAACACCTTTTCATAGGTTGTTTTGCCGTTTGATTTGAGTGCTTTTCTACCTCACGCCTTTCTTCCGTTTCTCTCAAGTAGTCGTAAACCCTGCGTGGAATGGTAGAAAGTGTGCTCGGCGTGCGCGCTCACAGCACAGTTACAGTAGCAGTTGGAGGGTGTAGTCACAATCATGCCATCACTTTGGAATGCCACCTCAAAACTATTTCTTAGCTTTGTTGGTGGTGTGTGCTGCGCAAAACCTGGGAGCTCTTAGCTTCTGTAGAGACTGCTTTATTCCGTTAGCGTGTAACTTTGTTTTATGGGTGGGCAACATGCCGATGCAACCGCCAAAACATAATTTACTTTTGAAGAAAGGTTTATTCCAGCATGTCTTTATATCTCGTCAATTTTCTTTTTTACATTCTCCACTCTCCCTCACAAATAACAGCCATACGAATTCTGTTCCTCTGATCAACTGTCATAGGGTGCTCTTGGTTTCTAAATAAGTTTTCTCGCCATGGCTTTTCGGCCACGCTCTATACCACGCTAAACGAACTTTGCTAATGAGTGTCTAAAATACCAGTTTTTCTCGCGGTTAATGATCGAGGAAGCGGCCGGCCAGGCGTTATTATTGACGAGCCCAGCGCATGCTTCGCCAGTTGATTTGAAACAACCTCTGTTCCTCAGTGCGGTCACATTCCTCAGCACATCCCAGCACAAGTTTCTGACTGAATTCCAGGTAAATGCAGTAAGTTAGTGGTTTTGTCTTAAGTTCGCGTTTGACGTTCGATTAATCGAGCCTATTTTTTGAACCGCTGTGGTTTCCGCGGCAATTTCATGTCTCATTTTATTGTGAGCTGGTTTGAATTTGAAGTGGAAATATTCTTCATTTTTGTGGGTACAGTTTCGCGAAAAGAGAACAGTTTTGAAGAGCGCGGTTGTGTATGTTTCAAAACTTGTTGCTGTGTACCTTAGGCGATATCACTACAGTGAGTTCTGCTCTACCGGGCGATCATCAACACTTAGGTAATGGTTCTATATGCTCAGACGTCGTATTATGAACTTAAGTTATAATGCCATCATCTGCATACAGTCTAGCAGTTCAATTTTCCCATCATATTGTCAAATGTTGGCTACACTGGTCGGGAACCTTGTATTTTCCATCCAATTTATTGCGGTAAATGTTTTTTCTTTGTTTTGTAGGCGTTGCAAAGTTATTCACACTTTGGAGATATTGTTAATTTGCTAACTGTATTCTTGAAGTTGAGGTTTAAGCTTCTGACTGCTTATTTTTTATGCTTTTAGCGACTCAGTTTAGGCTATTGAAAAAATTGCGGTTAAGCAATTGTGTTGGAGGGGACATTGTTTCCTATTCGAGTTTACTTAGCTTCTCAGATGGAAAGGATGAAGTGCTACAAGCGTTGGATTTGGGCATATCTTGAATTTTATAAGAGGAGTAGGAATTGTTCCATGTGTAAATCGGATTCAGAACTTTTGGGGATGCTTTTCTGAACTACCGAGTCCGATTTCTTTGGGGATGATGCGTGGTATGCATAATTATCGGGACGCTAGAAGTTCAGGTTTCTCTTGATCTTAATATAGGAGTTATTCAAAATGCTCTCTCCAAAGCTTAGAGGTGCCTTTTTTGAGCCATGGTAAGAGCAGAAGATATCTCATGACAAGTCTTACTCGGCCCAGACTTACATTGTTTAATTTGCTTGCACAGGTCTTAGTTCGTTGCGTGCGTCACTATTTTGTTTATGACTCACCACTCTGCAGCGGCCATCAGCTCCTCTCGTTGAAATATCACTTGAGAAGAAAACGAATTCATTTGACACTTTCTCATACCATTTGCTACTTTTCATAAACTGCAAGACTCGTGACGTTCGGTATTTTAATCAGAGCCTTACAAGACGTTTACGTATTGACCAATAGCACGCCGTTCATGTGAATTAACCTTTTGTTTGTGGTTGAACAGACTTGTCCTAAAAAGAAAGTGCGCGCAGGGCTCATTCCATCGGTGTTGCCGGGTCTGATTTCTTTTGCATCAAAAGATAAAGGATAAGCATTTGCCGTTGATCAATCCCTTTTTGGGATGCGGCACGCATTCTACTTCCATTTGTACATTCGTAGTGGCGTTTGAATGCGATGTGGCCTATACAATGACTTGGGGGCCAGCCGATGTACAAGTCAGTGTTTTTATCCTCCCAGACAAGTCTGGTACCAATTAACCGACCCCGGAGGGATGGAAGGCTTGGTTGGCCCGGGCGACTCACGACCCAGGATTTGATCCCCATATCCGCTCGCTTGGTAAGGCGTATGTCAGAGTCCGCGATCCGTCCAGGTTTTGCTGATTTCAGCGATTTTCGCGATTTGCGCGATTTCAGCGATTTGGTGATTTGAGCGAAACCTGCGATGGATCACAGGAGTTGGAAGTGCCCGATGATACTGCAAGGCAATCGTCATTCAACCATCACTATCAAGCAGAAGTGGCGGCGGGATTGGAGAACACCTTGCAGTATTGATGGGGCACTTGTGATTTCCGTGACCCGTCGCGCAAATCGCGAAAATCGCGAAATCGGCGAAACCTGCGACGGATCGCGGACACCCCGTTTTGCAATTAATTCTAAGGAACCACCATCCATATCTCACTTGATATTCTTTTGTTTTCACAACTTTTTCGTTATTGCTTTTGCTTGCTCTCCAGCTTGCTCTCTATTCTTCGTGGTGCAGATTCCAAACTGTGATGCCAGATGGTTTATTGATACAATCAATTGGGTTTGTCGCCTCAGGAGTTTCGTGACTGCAACTTTTTGTATGAATTTGTGGTCTAGATTGAAGAAAACTAGTTGGTTTTTCTTCCTACCCTAACGACAGTTTTCAATAGAGGAGCCCCATACTTCATGTTTCAGCTTGCAAGCGATGTGTAATAGTCATGTTTTGCCGTCCTCTTATGCAAGTTCATTAACACTTCTTTTCGTACTATAAACACGATCGTGTCGCGCTGTAACATTTATGTAATTCTTTGATGTAATTTAGTATTATTCTCAGTTGCATTTCCGATGAATTCCTTTTTACTTGTGTTATCTTCTTCTCCTTCTTCTTCTACTTCTTGTGGCAAGGTCTGCTGTTTTGTGCATTCGTTACGTTTCGGTACTTATTATGTTGATCTGAAATTATCCGCTGTTTGTTTTGCTCGTGACTTTTTCAATTTTTTGGTGTTTCTGATGGGTTTTATGTCATATGCTCTCCTCGATCCGAACAACGGACCATGCTTCAGCGGGAGCACGTTAATAAGAATAAGATTCGATGTGATTGGCAAG